TATATATATATATATATATATATATTATTAATATCAAATCACGGAGAGTGGCTGTTTGATATTTTCCAATGGCATTTGCAATGAATGCAGATAAAAACGTGGGGTTAGATTTGTAGAGATAGATTATGATTAATGAAAGACAAACAATTTGTGTAAGAAGTAAAACAATATAAGTTAAGCTTCAAATATGATTAGACAAAATGCAAACACAAACGCTTCGGCTAATACCTTCACCATAGAATAGAGATAATAATTATGTTTATAAAAATAATTATTAAAAACACACTTAAAGGTAAAGGGAAAATTGTCATTATATTATTATTATGGATATTAATATTAGGCCACTTATTAGGATTTACGAAAAAAGATAACTGTGTTCTGCTCTTGAACAAATTTAAATTGTCCTAGTTTAAATGTGTCATTTACTCAGAATGTTTACTATTTTTTTATCTTTCAGTTTGATATCCTGAAAATGAATATATACGATGTAATCAAAACACATTTCCACTTATTTGGATCAATTCAAAATCTTATTTTAATTTTTCTTTTTACTGTAACAATTCTTTTGTATATAAAGATTTTTTCAACAAATTTCTTTCATATAGTTATAGGTCCACTTTAGGGTATACACTCTGCATCTGAATATATTCAGATACTGATTTCTAAACATGTATCCCTACAAAACCTGCGCTCTTTTAAACACAGTCCTTACTGTGGGTTCCCAGTGTGGTGGACACAGAAAGAAGTCATACGGAGTGCGCTCTTTTGAAACTATTGCGCCTAAATTATGGAACAGTTTGCCTTAAATCTTTGGAGGGTCATTGAAAATGATAGAAAGTCATTTAAGAAACAGTTAAATAGGACATCAGAGTGCTGTGACTGTGAGCATGCTAAAATAGCATGGACACAAGCGCTATAAAAGTTTTCAATCAATCAAACATGTGTACTAGAGCTACTGAGCTGAATAATTCAACACAGTTAACTAGATCTCACACGATCTTACAATTGGCGACATTTTGTGACAGTATGTGACTTGATGCACTTTTTTTTTTAAATTAAAAAAAATTGTAGGCTACCCGAGATGTCTTTTATTATTTACAGATCGTACGGGATCTCGGGAGAAAAACTCTACTGTCTATAAATAACTACATTGCAGTTCCGTTCAAGATCAGATCAAGGCCACAAAACTTTGACTCCCTTATCTCGAGGCCCTCAAAAAGCAAAACGCCAACGAATCAATCAATATAAAATCGTTCCGGCATGTGGCTGGAAATTGCTTGGTGAAATGTTTAGACTGTCATCAAGCTGACTTCACAAGACAGTCACAGCAATCATCAGTCACAAAACAGCAATCACCAGTCACTAGACAGCAATCATCAGCCACATGACAGCAATCATCAGCCAGATGGCAGCAATCATCATTCACATGGCAGCAATCACCAGTCGCATGACAGCAATCATCAGACACATGACAGCAATCATCAGTCACATGACAGCAATCATCAGTCGCATGACAGCAATCACCAGTCACATGACAGCAATCATCAGTCACATGACATCAATCATCAGTCACATGACATCAATCATCAGTCACATGACATCAATCATCAGTCAAATGACAGCAATCACCAGTCACATGACAGCAATCACCAGTCACATGACAGCAATCACCAGTCACATGACAGCAATCACCAGTCACATGACAGCAATCACCAGTCACATGACAGCAATCATCAGTCACATGACAGACGAGGACAAAGAAAACCGTGTAAGATCCGAACATCAACGAAGAGAAAAAAATAATAATCATAATTTTTAAAAAAAACTGACCCCCGTAGATAGCTCGCATAGAAGAAGTTTAGAAGCTTTGATGTCCTAATGCCTCATATGGCTTTGGGGCATGAGGAATATAGGCCTATATGACATATATGAAATTTTTTAAGGGCATTCCAAAGCAACGGTGAAGGAAAGAAACAGAGTCCTACAAGAGCACATGGGAACGGCGTTCCTGTGGGGCAGCATATGAGGGGAAGATTATCATTCACTGTGGTTTTTATTCTATTAGTAGGACAAACGTGCTATCTTATTTTGTTGTTTTACTTAGGCTCAGTGGTGACGTAGGGGGGGGGGGTGGTGCAGAGGGCGACACATGTTTCTTTAAATGGCGGGTGGCAGTTTCGGCCGACTGTTTAGTGGGTTGTTGTTGTTTTTTTGTTTTTTTTTTGAGGGGTTTAGGGGGCGGCGGCAAAATCATGTCCTTCCAGGCTCAGTGGTGACGTAGGGGGGGGGGTGGTGCAGAGGGCGACACATGTTTCTTTAAATGGCGGGTGACAGTTTCGGCCGACTGTTTAGTGGGTTGTTGTTGTTTTTTTGTTTTTTTTTTGAGAGGTTTAGGGGGCGGCAGCAAAATCATGTCCTTCCCCATGGCGTAAGGGGTGCGGAAGCTGCGGTCCGCCTAGGGCGTCCTAGGACAACAGGTTTTTCCTTATTTTGAAGGGTTACATTTTTGGCCAGTTGGAGCGATTTTTTTGCGATTAAGGCGGCCAAAAAATCTTGGCCCACCCTGAGTGAGACTTACCCTAGCTGAACCAATGCACGTGTTCTTGATTTATGTGTTGAAGATAGATTTGTTAGTGTAACCCGGCACCTTATAATAAATGTTATATTGCATTTGATCAGAAATAAATAGGCCTACATATAGATTTCATGGAGAGGGGTAATCTTTTGTGTTCCAACATTTTATGTCCCACGACTTGATCTGATTCTGATAGACGACGTTGCTGCATCCATGTCCTGGCAGATGTGCAACGGTTTGGGAAACAATGCGGCCATCCTAACGGCTCCTAGCTGGTGCCAGGGCAGCCTTGAAGCTCTCGAGTGATGTCGAGTCCACGGTGGCATTGTCCAGTTTCTTCCAAGCAGTTATTGTTCGTGGGAAGAATGATAGTTTATATTGGAATGTGTTACACCGAGGCACAGTGAAGCATTTACTAGTGCTCCGGATGTAACTGCTGATGTAGTTGTCATAGGTGAAGTCAGTATTTATTGAGCGTTTGGCTCTGATTAAGCGACCTGGCTTATGTGGGGTGAGATACGTGTTAGCTGGGATGGCCTTTAGAAAAATGTCTGTATCAATATATTAAGCACACACACTACTACACCCCCCAAGAAAATATATGCATAAAATAATAATAGATATATAGTATAAATAAATAATAATATGGAATTATATTTTTTTTTCGAATTGCGAGGCCACTGTACATTTTAAAAGGACTTTGACTTAACTGTGACAGGGGTCGGGGAAACATTATTTAGCTATTACCCTACAGTATATTTGTTTACGCCGACAACCCCCCCCCCCACCCCCCCCCCCTTTTTTCCTTCCAGCAGATTGGGAACGGG